AGGCCAAGGACTGGGTTGGAGGCCAAGGACTTGGTTGGAAAAATGCCAACATGAGCAAATAACTGTTGTCCTCACAAAAATCTTCAGTTTCAGTCCCACAACATCAAGCATAGCCCGCGCTTTCTACATCCATTTTACAGCACAACTACCTTCATCCAGCTCGAGAGGCCATATGACTTCGATGCATGATTCCACGTTCGGCATTGTTGTTGCAACATGAACCACTTCTCGCAGGAATGTCTTCACTGACTTTTCGATATCTTCAATTTGATTGGCTAGTTTCTGTAAATCCAAACAGCTCGGTTCTTGAGTTTTCGGCAAAGTTGTTGCTGATAGCTTTATCTTTATGTTTTCCTTTCGCTCTTTGACTTTTTCTTGAATTTCTTTTTTCTTCTCATCACACAAACGATCGATCTCACCATAGCTGTCTATTCGCCATTGCTCAATATCACGAAAACATTCTGGGGTGTTTGCTGCATTCTCAAGAATAGGCTTCTGATTGGTGAGCACATTGAGTCGATCGGAAAGTGAAAGTAAATTATCGTGTATACTATCGACATGCTTCTTTTGGTGTGAGTTACAAAGATCCTTCTTATGGACAAAGCAACGCCACTCTGCTATATCATCGCATCCTTCAAATTTACAGGTTATAATTTCTTCTTCAGCCATTTCTAAAATAAAATATAGGCATACTTTAACATTCACACAATGACGCAACATAATTTAGAATCATTTCTTTTTTCACTTCCATTTTATTTATACACGCCAGCTGAAAATTTTATTTCACATAACACACATCGTTGCGAGAATTCTCTTTTGAGTTTTTCAAGTCTCTTCTTTCAATTAAGTGATACTCTTTACAATATACGGAATGGCTACTGGCACTCCCCGGAGTGTCAACAAGAAGCTGTTGGTATTCCCAAGGGTGTCAACAAGAAGCTATTGGTACTCCCAGCAAGTGTTTGGGAGTGTCAACAAGAAGCTATTGGCACTCCCGGGAGTGGCAACTAGGAGCTATTTCCGTCGCCAGGCAAACTTAGTGTAAAAGCTATGTCGGAAAAGTGGTTTATTCTCCGGAGCCGAGCATTTTAAATTAAATGTTGTTCT